CAGGGTTGAGTCCCACGTCAGGCACCCTGCATGGAGCCTGCTTCTCCTGCCTGTGTCTCTGCCTCTCTCTCCCTCCCTCTCTCTGTGTGTGTCTCTCATGAATAAATAAATAATACAACAAAAATTAAAAATTTAAAAAATAAGAATCAGAGCCCTTCCTGCAGCCCATGGTGGCCTTGGATTATCGTCCCATTTTTTTCCATCCTTTCAAGGCAAAGTTTCTGTTTATACTCCATATCTCTGCTGACTTATTTCCAAGGCCCCTTCTGCCCAGTTTAATGGTGATTTTGTTCCTACTGGTTCGTTGAAACACAGACACCATGACACCACTGACCATTCCCTCCTTTTTCCTCTTTAAAGACTTATTTATTTAAGAAAGAGAGCGTGTGCAAGGAGTGGGTGAGAAGAAGAGGGAGAGGGATACGCTGAGCAAGGAGCCCGATGGGGGTGGGGGTGCTTGATCCCATGACTCTGAGATCATGACCTAAGCCAAAATCAAGAGTCCAGCATTCAACCCACATTCCCCCCACATTCCCTCCTTTTTCAAGCTCTTTTCAGGGTCTCTTTTCAGAGACCAGCATTCTCCTAGATGTGCTCTACGCACACTGAAGTTCCTTTACCTCTTTTGTTAAGTCTGTCCTTTGTTCCACTTGTAAATGTCACAGTCCTCAGGCCATGGTCTTCCGTCTTTGCCATATACCTCATTCCATAAATTCCGAGATGCCTATATTTCTTGCCCCCATCCTCTATTTTAATATTTCAGACCAGGTGACATCTTACCATCACTGTGCCTTAAAATAATTTTTGGCAGATGAGAGTTGCAGGGTGTTTGTCACTGCCTACCCTGCACTCAACTTGCAGAATAGGTGCCAGCAGCTTGGGGAAAAAAAAAAAAACAGAAACAATACCAGTCCACTCTTTTACCCCTAGGAACTAAATGATTGTGGGAACAAAGAGTATCAGAGGTGACTCCAAAGCAGGAGTGAAAAGTACAGTGTATGTTGTGGCTTGAATGTATGTGCTCCCCTTCTTCGTATTTTGAAGTGCTAACCCCCAACATGATGGTATTTGGGAGGTGAGCTGTTTGGAAGTGATCAGGTTTAGATGAGGTCATGAAGGTGGGGACCTCATGATGCGATTAGTGCCCTTATAAGAAGAGGAAGACAGAGATCTCTCTCCCTGATAAAGGCCATGTAATGTCACAGCAAGAAGTCAGATGTCTACAAGCCAGGAATCGGGTTCTCACCGGCCACCAAATCTGCTGGCACCTTGATCTTGGATTTCCCAGCCTCCAGAATGGTGAGAAATAAATGTCTGTTGTTTAAGCCACCCAGTCTATAATATTTTGTTATAGTAGCCCAAGCTGACTAAGACAGTTTTATCACTAAAGCTGAACACACAGAGATACTATGACCCAGCAACTTCACTTGTGGATATATACACCAAAAAGCATGTGCAAGTATGTACACCACAGCATTAATTGTAGTAGCTTGAAGCCTGAAAAACAAAACAAAACAAAACAAAAAAAAAACCAATGCCCATAACAGTAGAATGAATTAAACAAGATGGAAAGAACAAATTATTTTTCTACAACAACATGAGCGAATCTCAAAAACTTAATATTGAGTGAAAGAAGCCAGTTTCAAAAGAAAACATGGCGTATGATTCCGCTTATAAAAACTTACACAGACACTCTAATCTCTGGGGTGAAAACTCAAAGAGTACTTCTCTTCAGAGGATAGTGACAAGAAGCGCCATGAGGTGGCTACTGAAAGGTGCTAGTTGGGGAGGAGGGCGGGAGGTGGGGGTGAATGGGTGACAAGCAGTGAGGGGGGCACTTGACGGGATGAGCACTGGGTGTTATTCTGTATGTTGGCAAATTGAACACCAATAAAAAATAAATTTATTATTTAAAAAAATGAAAGGTGCTAGTTATGTTCTTTTTCATCTGGTAGTGGGTACAATAGATTTGTTCACTTTATAAAATTTTATTGAACCACACAAAATCTGGGCACTTCACAGCATGTATATTTCAATAAGAAATTTAAAATGAGGGCAGCCCCGGTGGTGCGGCGGTTTGGCGCCGCCTGCAGCCCAGGGTGTGATCCTGGAGACCAGGCATCGAGTCCCACATCGGGCTTCCCGCATGGAACCTGTTTCTCTCTCTGCCTGTGTCTCTGCCTCTCTCTCGCTCTCTCTGAATGAATAAATAAATAAATCTTAAAAAAAAAAATTTAAAATGAAAAACATTAGAAATAATATGTAGGCCATTTCCGTATAACCAGAAAGGTAGTTTAAGGACCCAGAACCAATGTCTTTCAGTTCTTTTAGGATTCTTTTAAGACATGCCACATCACTGAACAACAGATGCTCTGAACCAGTGACCTGCATATACAGGGAGGAACAAAGGAATGGAAGTGGGATGCAGTCTCTCCCAATCTCAACTAATGACTTGCAAAATGTTTCCTATTCCTGCGCCTCTGGGTTCAGCCTGAGCCAAGGGAGGAATGCTTCCACCAGGGGGCACAACAATGATTCCTTTGAATTAGGAACTAAGACTGCCAATTGGCTATTTTTTTGTTCAGCTTGCCACTGAGCAAAAAAGTAAAAAGGAAGTACTACTATTGGCTGGGGTGATTGATTCTAATTGTCAAGGTGAAATAGGATTTTTACTAACCAGTGGGGGCACGGAGAAATATAAATGAAACTCGGCATCTCCCTAAAATTACATTTGGGTAGTTAATGAGAGACAAGCTCCTAGTTAGGTATTTAATTCCAATCTTATCAACTGAACAAACTAAAAAACAGGAAATGAAAAAAAAAACTTTTAAAGGTATTGAAAAACTAATGATGTGAAGAATAACTGGACTGATATTTAGGAAACTAAAACCCAAAGAGGTAAACTCAGAATTCGAAGCAATTTTTGTCCTGGGGACATTTACTAATCTGGAGGATATAACTGAGGTGAAACTGAGGTGTTGGTTGGTGGTTTTTGGTGGGGAGGGTTAAAAATCAAAATCCAAAGCCTGCTGAAGGGAGGAAGATGGACACCCCTCCACAGACGGACAACTTTAAGATAGGATCCCAACTTGTTTGGACTTGTAGCCCAGAATTATATCTGGGTGGTTCAGAGAAGCTTAAGCCTTGAATTTGGATTAAAATAGACCCATCCTTATCCTGCCCCAGGTCACCTGGCAGAAACATGCATATTGGTATGGAGTAATAGGTTTTATGAAGGAATGCACTGTTTATCCTGGTCCTCAAATTATTTTTTTAGCTTTTTCAGATATGACATCCAGCCTGTAATCAAAGATACCCAGGCAAACAGAGAGGAAAAACCTGGCACAAGAAACAATACAAAAAATATAAGACAGAAATTGACCCAAAGATTGAACATACTGGAATTATCTTATATTGACCATAAAAAAACATTGCTTACTGTGTTTAGAGGAGTTAAAAATGAGCAGAAAAACATCTTTTGGGGACAAGTACTTATTAAGAAGTGCCACAAAAGAATTTTAAAAGAACAACATGGAACTTCTCAAACTGAACAATAAGATAACCAAAATTAAGAAGATAGTGAATGAGGGATCCCTGGGTGGCGCAGTGGTTTGGCGCCTGCCTTTGGCCCAGGGCACGATCCTGGAGACCCGGGATCGAATCCCACGTCGGGCTCCCGGTGCATGGAGCCTGCTTCTCCCTCTGCCTGTGTCTCTGCCTCTCTCTCTCTCACTGTGTGCCTATCATAAATAAATAAATAAATAAATAAATAAATTTAAAAAAAAAGAAGATAGTGAATGAATTCTTTAAGCAGATTACTCATAGCTGAAGAAGGAACATAGAAACTAGAAGCTAGGTAGGCAGAAATTGTCCTTAATACTGCATAGAAAAACAAAACAAAAAATACAGAAGTAGAGCAGAAACAGATACATTGGGAGATCTATTATACATTTAAGATTTTTTATTTTATTAAGTAGGCTCCCTACCCAGTGTGGAGCCCAACACAGGTCTTGAATTCATGACCCTGAGATCAAGACCTGAGTTGAAACTAACAGCCAGATGCTTAACCAACTAAGCCACTCAGGTGCCCCCTAAAACACATTAATTGTAATTGGAATGCCAGAGGGTAATTGTAATTGGAATGTCAGAGGGTAAGGAGAGAGAAAGGAGCAGGAGCAAAGTTGAAAAGAAAATGATAATTTTCCAACAATGTGAAAGATGTGAATCTATAGATTGAAGAAGCCAAATAAAACTAAAGCAAGCTAAATAAAGACTTCATGGGAATAAAGGCTAGAGTATTTGGGATGAAGGGTAACAGTGTCCACAACTTATTTTCAAAAGGTTAGAAAAAAAGTTTTTATAGGCAAAGAGATAAGGCAAACGAGGCCAAATGGTAAAAATGAGCAAATCTAGATGAAGGTATGTGGATGTACATTGTGCTAGTCTTTCAGTATTTCTGTAGGTTTGAAATGTTTCAAAGTAAGTGTTTTGGGGAAAAAGTCAATTCTATACAGAGAGATCCACCGAGGACTCGGGTTCTTTAAAAATAGAAGTCTAACTCTTGATCTCAGGGTTGTGGATTCAATCCCTATGTTGGGGGTAGAGTTACTTTAAATTTTTTTTTTAAATAGGGACGCCTGGGTGGCTCAGTTGGTCAAGTTTCTGCCTTTGGCTCAGGTCATGATCCCAGGGTTCTGGGATTGAGCCCTGCATTTCCTGGGATAGAGCCCCACATTGGGCTCCCTGCTCAGCAGGGAAACTGCTTCTCCCTCTCCTTCTGCCTGTTGTTCTCTCTGCTTGTACTCTCTCTCGGTCAAATAAAATCTTTTTTTAAAAAATCCCTAAAAAAAAAAAAAAAAAAGTAAAAGAAAATCTTTGAAGGCAAAGGGAATACAAACTGGATAGTGAAGGAAGAGAAGTTATTCATACCAGCTATAGTTCCATTGTAGAAAAAGTCTGTAGCTTTTTTTTTTAATATTTTATTTATTTATTCATGAGAGACAGAGACAGAGAGACCGAGAGAGAGAGAGGCAGAGACACAGGCAGAGAGAGAAGCAGGCTCCATGCAGGGACCCCGATGTGGGGACTCTGTCCCGGGACTCTAGGATCACACCCTGAGCCGAAGGCAGACGTTCAACCACTGAGCCACCCAGGCGTCCCAAAGTTTGTAGCTTCTACAGATACTTCTCTTCTTGCTGTGTCAAGTATATTTTTACATATTTTAATTTTCCCATTCTTCTCTCCTTTCCACTTCCAAATATAGGATGTATTGGAGGTAACTAACTTTACAGCATGGTTCATAGTTTGCAAAACATTGTGATGGGTTGGTAAAAAAAAATTGCAAAAAAAAACCCCAAACAAAACACCTGGGAATCCTGGACTTGTAAGTGGATATGATCATTGGCAAGATTTTGAGTTGTCTCCCTTTGGAAGAAGAGTAAATAGATACATATATGTATGTGTGTGTGTATATATATATATATATATGTATATATTTTGTGTGTGTGTGTGTGTGAATATATTTTTGACAGAAAGAAGAGTAGATGCATTATACTAGGGAGGCTTATATTATCTTACGTTTATAGTAAGTACTGCATGGATGTTGGGCATTTAAAACAGTAGACTATAGGGGCATCAGACATTTCTTTGGCCACCCCACAGCTTCTGTTCCTATTTTTGGGAATTCCTTTTTGTGGGTGGTGTTTGTAGGGCACAGTGCCCGGGTAGTACTGTACAAACTGAAGAGGAAAGATCCTTCTGTTCATCCATGGCTACTTTGGTGCAAGCAAGTATTCCTAGTTTTTTAATTTTAAAAAAGATTTTGTTTATTCATGAGAAACACAGAGAGAGGCAGATACACAGGCAGAGGGAGAAGCAGGCTCCCTGCAGGTCGCCTGATGTGGAACTCCACCCCAGGACCCTGGGATCACGACCTGAGCCAAAGACAGATGCTCAACCACTGAGCCACCCAGGTGTCTCACAAGTATTCCTAATTTAGTTCATCTGACGCTTCAGGTCCCCTGCCTAGGCCCCTTTTTCCAGCTTGACACAGCAGCCCTGAGTGGTTTCCCAGAGCCCTTGGGTCCCTGATGCAGGGTGGGTGAGGAATGGTTCCAGGGGAACCAAGACAGGCATGGCTACCCTGACCTCAGCTCAGGTCCAGGGTGAAGGTGTGGTCTTCCAGCTGGGTAGAGCTCTAAGGAGGGTTTCCTTTTTTCTTGTCTCCCCTTTCCAAGGCAGAAGGGACAAGCCTTTTAAGCACAGAGAGGTAGCCTGCAGGCAAGGAGCTGCTGGGCTTCGGCTCCTCTTGCTTTGCCCTCACACTTTCCCAGGGGCTAAGGTGGAAACCCTGTTGGAGGAGGGGGTTGTAGTCAGGTAGAGGCACGGGCCTGGGTTAAAATCCCACTACTGGGACACCTGGGTAGCTCAGCAGTTGAGCGTCTGCCTTCAGCTCAGGGTGTGATCCCAGGTCCAGGGATGGAGTCAGGGATCGAGTCTTGCATGGGACTCCCTGTGAGGAGCCTGCTTTTCCCTCTGTCTACGTCTCTGCCTCTCTCTGTGTGTCTCTCATAGATAAATAAAATCTTAAAAAAAAATAAAATCCCACTACTGATAGTGAAATCCCTAATCTCTAAGTGATGGCAAAATTTTCAGATTAAAAAGACAAAGTTTGGTGGGGATATAACATAATGAAGCTTCTATGGAAAATGGTATGGTGGTTCCTCAAGAAATTAAATATAGAATGACAGTATGTCATACCATAGTATGATCCAGCAATTCTACTTCTGCATATATATTCAAAAGAATTAAAAGCAAGGACTCAAACAGATATTTGTACACTCATGTTCATAGCAGCGTTGTTCACAATAATAGCCTGAAGGTAGAAGCAACCAGGTGTCTATTGATGGATGAGTGGATAAACAGAAGGTGGTAAAGGTAGATAATAGAATATTATTCAGCCTTTAAAAGAAGGAAATTCCAACACACATTGCAGGGTGGATGAACCTTGAAGACGTCAGGCTAAACGAAATAAGCCAGTCACCAAAGGACAAATACTGTGTAACTCCACTTACATCAGGTCTCCAGAGTAGTCAGGTTCATAGAGACAGGAGGTAGATGGTGGTTGCCAGGGGCTGGGGGAAGGAAAGGGGAAATTAGTGTTTCATGGGTATGGAGTTTCACTTTGGGAAGATAAAAAAAGTTCTGGAATGGTTGGTGGTGATGGTTGCAAAATATGTACTTTATGGCACTGAATCATACACTTAAAACATGGTTAAAATGGTAAATTTCATATTGTATATATTTTAACACACACACTCATAGCCCTGTGGCCAACAAAATGCCTCCTGGTCAAATTCAAATTCCCCACTATGACATCGACACAGAGGCTGGAGGCAGGAAAGACTGGGGGCAAGGTGGGAGGCTTGGATTCGCAGGGTCAGAAGGATGGAGAAGAATTAGCAGAGAATGGAAGAAGGGGAGACCAAGACTTGAACTTGCCTCTGGCCCCCCTCCGTGGTCTGTACCAATCAGACACAACCCCCACCTTAACACTGTCCCGTCCTCTGTCCCCACTGTCCCTGGCCCGTCCTGGCCTCCACATCCTGCAATGGCTTCCTCCTTTCTGACCTATGGTCCATCATCCATTGGCCTGGGTGGTGATCCTTCTAAAACCTGGATCTGACCACATGCTTCTCCTGCTAAAATCCTTCTAGCTCCCCATTTTCTCCTTAGCTTTGCAAGCAAAGCTATTCCCAGCAGACGCCAACCTGCTTTTCCAGCTTCACAGTCCTGCCTTTCCCAAGCCCCTTCCTTCATGTCCACAGCCACTTTTGAATACCTTCCACGTGGCAATTCATAAACGTTGTCCCTAATTTTTCCCACAACCCTGCAAGGTAGGTACCATTGACTCTGTTTTAGAGATGGAAAAACTGAGTTTCATACAGATTAGATCACTCCGAGATCTATGCTCTTTTCACCACATGGAGGCTCCTCTGTCATTCATTTTGGTGCCTCAGGGCCTTTGCTTATGCACAAGCATATCTTAGCCTTCAGGCTTGGCTCAGAGTCACACCTGACCATCCTAATGGGCCCTGATACCAGCTGCACCTCCACCCCAGGAATTCCTGATCTCATTATCTTCATGGTGTTCAACAAAATTGGAAATCATCTTACTTGCTTACAAATTGAACATCTTTTCCTACTAGAATATAAGCTACAGGAGAGCAGGGATTGAGTCTGCCTGATATCCCCAGCACCTGGAACATCCTTGAGTACCCTGTAAATGCTCACTAAGTAGTGCTGATGAGCGCTGTTGGATCCCTCTCAGCCCCGGGCAGGGGTCCTCCCTCCTGTGTGCTCCTTTAGTCCTCTGAAGCTGGAGAAGCTGCTGGTTCCTTGCACTAGGCCTTGGGGTTATTCTTTCATGCTCGGGTCTCCCCAATAGACCCCAGCAGCCTGGGGACGGCACCTGACTTACACCAGCTCTCAGCCACCTCTTGTAAACCAGAAGCAATGTTGTAATTGCCCCAGTTGCCATTTGGGTTGTTCCTGCTCCCTCTTTACTATGGGCTTGGAATCAGGTAGAAGATTTCAAAGGGCACGAAGACTTCTGAGGTTGGGGTCTTTCCCAAGGTGAGCCCAGGTCATAGAGATGGGTCTGTTTTCAGGAGGGAACCTAGGTTAAGGGTGTGGGGAGTGTGACTACCAGCAGCAGCAAGTTTTATTGCCACCAGAATTCCTGACATGTGAGAGGGTGGGGCAGAGGGACATTTGGTCACTGATGCCATGTTCCTAGTCCAGAACAAGGAGCCAAAGGTTTGGCTGGCTGTGCCCTGCTTCCCCTGCCTCCAAACTCCCATGGGGCTGAGGCAGAAGTCAGGTGGGAAGAGGAGTCCACCTTGACAGCACCTTCATCCAAGGGATGTGAGGGCAGGAGGAGGAGTTGGGGGTCCAGCTGGCCCAAGATGCTCAGAGCACTTTGGGCTGACTTCCGCAGGTGTCCTCAGGGGGTTTTAGGGGAAAGCAGTAAGGCACACTGCCCCTGGGGAGAGGCTGGGAGGCAGGGAAACAAAGGCTCAAAGAAAGAAATCACTGGCCAGAGACCACACCGTGGGACTTCGGGGTCCCGACATCTAGGCCAGGGCTGCAGCCACCCTCTGCCTTCTAACATTCACTCCATCCTGATCTCCTGGCCTGGCCAGCCTTGGTCCTACGTGGGGATCTGCATATGGCCCAGGTCCTGGTCCATGATCTGGAGGACGTCGTCCAGGATAGAAGGCCCCAGGTCCACATGCAGGGAGAGCAGGGAGCTGGCATGGGACAGGAAGGGCTCCTCGGCCCCCAACTCAGGGGTCAGCCCATTGTGCACAGAGCCAGCCTCTGGAATCCTCCAGATGTCCACACTCCCTGCCTCCTGTGGGGAAGGCTGCGGGGAAGGTTGTGGGATCTCCAGGTGCAGGCGCGGGGGTTTGGGTGGGGCCTGGGTGGTGGGCAGGGTGAGGGCCTGGGGCCCTCCAATGACAGGGAGGGAGATGGCATTCTTGAGCAGAGGGGACGGCCCGTCGGGCAGCTCACGCCCACACAGCGTGCCAGTGCGGGTGAACTGGAAGGGGAGGTCCAAGGAGCCATCCTCCTCAGGTCCCTCGACCACCGTCCCCGGCAGGAGGTGGAACTTGCCCTGCAGGAAGGAGATGTCGCCGAACATGTCACTGCCACCGCCACTGCCAATGTGAATGGTGTGTCGGAAGTCCCCCAGTGGCGGGCTGATCATGTCTGAAGACAGCAGGTCCCGCAGCTTCTCCTTCTTGCCCTTGCGGCTGCCACGCTTCAGATAGATGGGCACCTTGGTGGACATGGTGATCTCGGTGCCCCGGCCTGGCTCCTGGGGCTGGGGACAGTGCACCCGTGGGGACAGAAGCCTCCTGCTGCCTCCTCGTACCACCTCGGCCAGAGACACCCTGAGCGTGGTTTCCTGACACAGAAACCTACCAAAGGACTAAGACTATGGTGTGGAATGTGATCGAAGTTGGCCCAAGGAATGAGAAAAAGAAAGATTAATAGTCAATGAAGTCAGAAGGCTGAGACAACAAAAATCACTTTCTCCCAAAAGAGTTGAAATGGATCTGGAAAGTCAGCAGCAGAAAGGTGGAGCTCTCATATGCAGCGATGCTCTCAGGTCTTGTTCTCGTAGGTGTCTTCTTGGGGGCTGAAGAGATGAAACACCAAAGGTATTAAAGTCAGAGACAGAAGGACAAAAGGCAGAAGCATCCGTGTCATCCCCGGGCCCCCTGCATCAGCCGCCCCAGGGGAGTCCAAGTGGGGTGACTCTCCCTCGATGAGCCATGCTGGAGGAAACAGGTGTTTGCTTACAGGCTCCCTGCACCTTACAGCCTGATTGCTAGAACCGAGCCCCTCTCCTGACCAGTGGCGAACCTGAGTCCTGGGAGCCTGAGTCTCTTGCCCTGGGGCTCTGGCTCTGCTCATCACCATTGTCTGGGTACTCACCACCTACTGCACATTGACTGTGCCCCAAGACATAGCAAGTGCCAAGTTTGTGGGGTTCTCACAGACTTGTCCCAATCCCCGGCTTGACCAAGGAGAGAGATCTCGTAACCTCTGTCTCTCCTACCTGTCTGTGCCAGGCCTGGACACATGGTATGTGTTCAGCCAACAGGACTGAATGACAGATCCCTTCTGTTTGACCCAATCTCAGTCCCATCCGGAAGTGAGGTCACCTCACAGCTCCTCTTTTATCATCCAGGTGTGCAATTCCTTGCTCTGGGACTGAGTCTAACCATAGTTACCATCCCTCTGCCCTGCCCTGCACCTGAGGGGAAGATGGAGTGGAGGGTACACATATTTTGGGGGACTCTGCTCTGTGCTTGGTATTTTGCTGAGTTCTTTGCAAACGCATCTCATTTCATCATTGCAACCACCCTCCTCTCATCCCCATTTAAAAATTGGAGCCAGGGATCCCTGGGTGGCGCAGCGGTTTGGCGCCTGCCTTTGGCCCAGGGCGCGATCTTGGAAACCCGGGATTGAATCCCACGTTGGGCTCCCGGTACATGGAGCCTGCTTCTCCCTCTGCCTGTGTCTCTGCCTCTCTCTCTCTCTGACTATCATAAATAAATAAATAAAAAATTTAAAAAAATTAAAAAAAATAAAAATTGGAGCCAGAAAACATTTTGGAGGGATTTGCACAAGGCATTGCTGAGGGAGAGAGCAAAATGCAAAAGAGTAGTATGGAAGATGCCATTTCTGGGGTGCCTGGGTGGCTCAGTTGGTTAAGCATCTGACTCTTGGTTTTGGCTCAAGTCACAATCTCGGGGTCAATGGATTTAGCCCCAAAACAGGTTCTGCACTCAGTGGCGAGTCTGCTTGAGATTCTCTCTCTCCCTCTGCCTCTAACCTACTTAAGCACTCGCTCTCTCTAAAATAAAATAAATAGGGGATCCCTGGGTGGCTCGGTGGTTTGGCACCTGCCTTCAGCCCAGGGCAGAATCCTAGAGTCCCGGGATCGGGTCCCACATCGGGCTCCCTGCATGGAGCCTGCTTCTCCCTCTGCCTGTGTCTCTGTCTCTTTCTCTCTCTCTCTGTGTCTCTCATGAATAAATGAATAAAATATTTTAAATAAATAAATAAATAAAATCTTAAAAAAAGATTCCATTTCTTTTTTTTAAGATTTTATTCATTTATTCATACAGAGAGAGAGAGAGAGAGAGAGAAGCAGGCTTGCAGGCTCCATGCAGGGAACCTGACGTGGGACTTGATCCTGGGTCTCCAGGATCACGCCCTGTACCAAAGGTGGTGCTAAACCGCTAAGTCACCCAGGTTGCCCAAAGATTCCATTTCTGATAGCAGTGACCAACTCCCCTCCTCTCTGTCCCTTTCCGTGAATGCACGTGTACCTACAGATACAGGTACGAATAGGATAATATCCTATATAAAAAGAGAAGAGGGGGCACCTGGGTGGCTCAGTGATTGGACATCTGCCTTTGGCTCAGGTTGTGATCCCAGGGTCCTGAGATAGAGTCCCACATTGGGCTCCCCACAGGGAGCCTGCTTCTCCCTCTGCCTAATTCTCTGCTTCTCTGTGTCTCTCATGAATAAATAAATAAATAAATAAATAAATAAATAAATAAATAAATAAATAAATAATCTATCTTTAGGGAAGAGAAAGAAGAATCTGGAAGACCAGCACTGGGTTATATGGGCTGTGTAGACTGAGGTGGGGGGCAGGGAAGGTGGGGTGGGGTCAGTGCCAAAGGAGGAAAAGTGTCCTCGATAAAAATTATCTGTGATATTTGCTGGGAAAGTAAGCTGAGGTAACCAAAGGATACATTATAAAGTAAAACATTTCTCTTGGAAAAAAAAATTCCCTGCGATATTCAGTACTGTTATTCTAAAATGATATATGTAACTGTGAAAAGGATGGTTGCCAAAATGTTGGTGATGGTTCTTTCATCTTTCAGGTGGCAGATTTCAGATGACTTTGCCTTTCTTCTTCATACTTTTATAAACTCAGTTCTTGCGACTTTTTTTAAATTTTTATTTATTTATGATAGTCACACACAGAGAGAGAGAGGCAGAGTCACAGGCAGAGGGAGAAGCAGGCTCCATGCACCGGGAGCCCGACGTGGGATTCGATCCCAGGTCTCCAGGATCGCGCCCTGGGGCAAAGGCAGGCGCCAAACCGCTGCGCCACCCAGGGATCCCTATAAGCTCAGTTCTTAATAATAAGCATGTATTATTTAGGTGCACATAGTATTTATGTAATCAGAAAGAATAAAACTATTTTTATTGTGGAGAAAAGAAGAGCACTCTGGTGGGGTGTCATAGTGGCTTAATAGAAAAAGGAAGGGTTGCAAGCCCTTGTTGGTGTTCCCACGGTGGGGGATTGGCCCCTGTACATGGATCCGAGAGAACCCAGATGGAGAATCAGAGCACAAAAAGCAAAGAAAGAAACGTGTCCAAGGTCATCCAGAGGGTAGCCAGATGAGCACCCCTCCTCCACGGCCCCCTCCCCAGGCGGCCAGGAGCTGAGCAGGTGGGAAATAGGCCAGAGAGGGGCGGAGAAACGGCTGGGAGGCCTGGCCAGTCCAATTCTCTACCCTGGGCAAGGAGAAGGGAGAATGAGGGGGCTGGTAGGAGGGAGCAGGAAGGAGGATACAGGAGAGGCAGAGTCCCAACTCCCAGCCCAGGCCCTCACTCAGGAAACCCCACCCCAGGACCGGACACCCCAGGTCAGCTACACTGAGCCACAGAGACCGGACATCTTGCCCCTCCCTGAGCACCTGCCGCTTAACAGGAAACAAAGGAATGAGTCTCCAATGGCAGAATTCCAGCTAAGCTTGAAAGGATCTGGAGGGAGAGTGGGGGAGGCAGTGGATACCTCGAGGTCCTGGGATCCTATCCCTCACTCATTGAACAGACATTTACCTGTGCCTACCATGCCAGACCAGGGGGCATGCCCATACACATCCTACCTGTCTCCTTGGTAGGCGAGCAGTCCTGGGGCAGCTTCTCCTTCCTTTCCACTCATAAGGAGTGGGACAGACTGGTGGGATTTGTCGTCCCCCCTCCAATCATACAGGGCGCCAAGACAGCCTGAGTGTTTCCACAACAAATCAGGCGTCCCTGACAGCTGTCTCACTCTGAGCCAGATGTACCCGCCCAATTCCAGATGTGGGGAGAACTGGCGCTGGTGGGGAGGGTTGGGCCAGCGTCAGCCACCCAGGGGAGAGCTGGGAATTGCAATCATCAAGCCCCAAGTATTCTGATTTGGCAAGTGTGAGACCCCAGGCTACAGCTGCCCTTGCATAGTTCCCATTTTAAAGCTCCCAGGCACAGCACGGTGGGTGTCACCACTGCCTTTTACAGAGGCAGAAGCTGAACCTCACAGACCTGAATGTTGCTGAGGTCACCCAGCTGGTAAGAGGACAAGTGAGTATCAGCACGCACCAGGTCCCTGTGGCTCGGACGCAGTGGGCCACCCAACTTCTGAAAACAGGAGCAGGACAGGTTCCCAGCTAGGCTGGGGTCACTTGGTCCCCAACTTGCAAGGATCCAGAGATATGAGAATGAGCTCTCCACCAGGACAAGGTTGTGGGGGGCCTCAGAGGGGCAGCTTCCCCCAGCAGTGGGAGGAGCAGACAGGAGCTTACTCTGGGCAGGAGCCCTGGGCCTCCTTCAGAGAAAATGACTTCCGGGAGGCACAGCCCCTTCTGTCGCCTGAGGAGTACTAGGCCACTCTCCACTAATGATGTTCAAAGAGCAGCCCCCTGATGTTGAAATCAGCAGCCGGACCTTGAATCCATGTCCATCTGGGACTCACTCTGTGACCCTCAGGTTTTTGGTCCTCACTTTCCCCATCTATAAAATGGGCTGACAAAGCCATCAACAGAGGGCTACTGGAAGACGCTGCCGCCACAGTGCAAGTGAGAGCAGAAGTACAACAGACAGGGTTAGCGGGTCACTGTCAGTCCTGTCAATTCATTCCGCAAATAGCCGTAGGGCCTTCCTCGAGCATTTTGATTATCCAAGGACAGTGCTCTGAACAAGACCAAAAACGAATGCCCCCATCCTCCAAGCGACCGCCTTCTGCCTGCCTGCGCTGGGGGCGGAGGGCGCAGGCTCGCTTGCTGGCCGCGGAGTCTCCCGGGGTCCCTGCGCGGGGCGGCGCTCGGCTCCGCGGCCGCTAGGTGGCGCGCGCTCTGTCGCCCCGCTTCTCAGAGGAGTCCCGGCGCGCATTAGGGTCTCCGGCGCGCTTGGGGTTCCAGACAGGGGCCCTCCAAGGGGCCGCACGTTCACGTACCAGAGACTGATTGTCCGAGGGATCTTCTTGTCTCGGAGCGTTCTGGTCTCACAACCAGACAGTAGGGGGGAGGGGGGATGATGGGGACCTTGCCAGGGTCTCCAAGCTCTGGGAGGAGCCTCCCGCGTGCTTTCCGGCCTGGGCGATGTCCGAGTGTCCGCTGGGCGCAGGGCCAGAGCTCGGGCGTGCAGGCCCCCACCCCTGGCTCCCGCGGGTCCGGTTCCCCAGCCGCAGCTCGGGTTCCCGCGCCGACCCCTCCCCGCCCTCTGCCCGAGCGCCCAGCCCGGATCCGTTTCAGGACACTCGCGGCCCTAGCTAAAGATAGGAGGACACCTCATCACAGACTAAAAATACGACCCCCAGCCCGGGCGGGGACGCAGGGCGGCGGGAGGGCGCTCCCGCGTCCGGGGTGTGGGGAGGGGGCGAAGGCGCAGAGTGAAGGGCGGGCCCACGAGTTCGGGTGCGGGATGAGCAGCGCCTCGCAGGCGGAGGAGGCGCGGGCGTGGCCGCCTGGACCGAGGCGCGGGCGGGAAACACCGTGTAGCCCGAGGCTCCGGGGAAAGGACCTGTGCGGTAGTGACACAAGAGCAGGGACCCCACGGGGGTAGCCCTCTCGCGGGGGCCCCTGGGAGTCGCAGACGGGCTGCAGAGTCCCGGGCCGAACTTACCTTGAGGCGCGCAGGCGGTGAACCCGCGGGCTACGACAGCTCGAGTGCTGGACGGAGCGGCTCTGGGACACGATCCGGGCTGTGAACCCACAGAGAGGTCCTTGGCCCCCGAAGCCCCGCCCCCGGCCCGCGGAGCCAATGCCCAGGCCGCCCCAGTCGGGCCCCGCCCACACTCCGCCCCTCCGGGCCCCGCCCCCTCCGGGCCCCGCCCCTCCGGGCCCCGCCCCTCCGGGCCCCGCCCGTGCTCCCCCGCCCGTGGCGCTCGCGAGCGCGGGTTCCAGCGCGGGCTCGGCGGCTGCGGGCCAGGAGGTGTGGGGGCCGGGGCTGACTCCGCGGACTCCCGCTGCGCCTGCCGGGGCCCCAAACTCTCGGTGTTCGGAGGCCTAAGGGGGCGGCAGCCGGAAGACCGAATTACAGTTCTTCAGGATTCACCAAGTGCCTCTGGACCCTTCCCTTCCTGGGGGCTGGGTCCGGGGAGGGGCCGGCGCAAGTGTACTCAGTGGGGGCTAAGGGAATGAATGAGGCCTTGGAGGCCCCCGGGCTAAAATATTACACACTTGGTGAGAGCTTTAAGGAGTTTACTGCCCTTTTGAAAAGAGGGCACGGAGGGTGTGTGGGCAGTGACCTGGGTACGCTGGTGTGCCATCAGTCTAGGTGGCTTCCGGGGCGAGGGTGGAATCCATACTTAGACTCCTTCCAACTGTTTCATTCATTCATTCATTCACCCACTCACTCACTCACTCACTCACTCAGTACTATAAATATTTATTGAAGGGCAGGCCCTTTGCAGGGCGCTGGAGACAGGTGGAAGGAAACTGCCCTTTCTCCATTCAGTGATTCAACAGAGATTTGCGCATCTACTAGGTGACAGGTGCTATTCTTGTCGCTGGGGATTCAGCGCCCTAGGAAAGATGGAAAACTGAAGCTCAGGGCCCTGATGGTGATCTGCTTGGCCTGAAAGTTCAAGACCTGTGGTCTTTGGGCCTTCCTCCTGCTTCAGGCTTCTCACCCAGACACTGTCCCCTCTGTGCTGCCCTGCCTTCTGTCACACAGCCCTGGGAGAGGACTACAGCTCTGTGCCAAGCCTTGAGGACTGCCTCTGCGCCATGGTCGTGGGTTCTGGGCTGGCTCTGCTGTCCTCTTGCCCTGTGGCCACAGGCAAAGGACAGTCTCTTTCTGAGCCTCTCTGCCTGTAAAAAGAGAGTTATATGAATCCCAAACAAGATAAGAAACATGTGTGTTTTGTGGATGGGAACACAGGCCCCACAGATGGCACTTTCATGCATACATGCTAACAGTCTCTTTGGGGGACAGCAGGTGGGCCACATGAAACTGGGAACCAGTTCCAGAACTCTTTGGAGAGGCTGAGGGGGTGGGCAATGGGGAGCACTGGGGGATTAGCAGAGAACAGCAGATTTGGCTCCCTCAGCCTGGCCCTAGCCCCTGCTACCTCCTTCAGGGACTAGTTAGAAACCTCTCTAGCATGGCTGCCAGGCCAGGACTCCTAACCAAGGTTCAGAGCATAGGAATCACCGTCTGTGCTCTGGGGACTGTTTAAATCCGCCTGGACATGACAAGCTTCCACCTAAGTGCTATCTCCCCATGGTGCTCAGTATACTCCTGCCATCAGCCAGAGCTCAGGGCCCACTCGCACGAAGCCTACATCCAAGGCATGATTTGGGTCTGGTGGTGGGTTCTGTGCTTTACAAGCACTCAGGTGAGCAGTTCATTCTCTCCATGCGCAGATGAGTTTATGTCACTAGGCTGCGGCTGGAGGAATCCCTAAGGAGCTTGCTGACAGCTCCTCTCCTCAAGGTTTTGCTGAATAGGCAGGATTTTTGCATACACACCCAGCTGCTGTGGAAGCCCTGCAATTAATGCACATTTATGAAACAGGATTTCATTTGCTAAAATTGACTTTTTTACACAACTTCTCTGGCTGTGTGTAAGGGTCTCAGTGTGGGTGGGGAGGATGGGATCCTGGGCCAGGGGATAACCAGGGTGTCCTGCATTTCTGATGCAACAGATATTCTGGATAAGTGTCCTGCCCCCGGCCCCTCCTGCATGCACCCCATGTTCAGGGTCTGATACCTCAGCCACAGCCTGGACTGTTCTCACTGGAAGGGCTCCTGGACACCCTGGTGATTGTGGGGGCAGGACCCTGAAGGGCATTTGGGAGGGATTAACTGCAGGGAAGGCTAGGATGGAGAAATGCCTGGAATGGGCTATTCAACTTTCTTTTCCGCTGGGAGCTCTCCCTGGCCCTGGGATGGGTCTCGCTGGCTTCTCCCACACCGTGCCCCCCCCCCCCCCGCCGACCCCACCAACAGAGCTCTGTAATCACCACACAGTGACTGACTCAGCCCTTCCTTCCCTCCCAGCCCCTTCTTCCTGGAAATCATTCACGTCAGCATCCCCAGCAGTCATGGAGAGAGTCAGAAGCCCCCTCCTCCAAGTTTGGCTGGGGAGGATGGACAGCTGGCAGGGAAGGACCCCAGGATGACACAAGCTCTCTGCAGCCTCGCTTACCCAGCAATGTAGGGCCCTGGGAGGCAGGTGGGACCATAGTGACCAGGAGTCTAGGGGCAGGTCTAGGAGCAGAGGGTCACAAAGGAAGTGTAGTAAGAATCTTGGGGGGACTTCCGGGGGCCAGTAAAAAGAGATAAAGTATCTGGAAGAGGCTTTAGCACCCCCACCATGCAGGGCCACAGGGCAGCAGGGAGCTGGGCAGGAGCCTCCTCCACCCCAGCCTGAGCTCAGCTGCTGGCCCATGGCCTCAGCCAACCCCAGGCCTGGGTTGGATTTTTCCTTGATTGTTTCTTGTTTCCTTCCTCCCCTGGGCTCCTGCCAACTACATCCCTGCCCTTGTCGCTCTTCACCCACCTTTAGCAAACTCTGATCTGCCAGGGGCTGGGATTCCAGATGAGAGTCCCCTTGGAGCTGCCCCCCAGTTTCTGCCTCTGTCTTGAACCCCTCCTGGGGAGTTGGGTGTCAGGACCTTGTGGGGGAACTTTCCTTTGGGTCAGGATTTTGGCCCCAGGCCTAGGACCATGGCAGTTTCCAGAGTGGTGACAGCTCTGTCCTAGGAGGGACCAGCCCAGGCATTTTCCCCAGAGGGCTCTGGGAGCATCCAAGCTACATTGCTGTCCTTTGGCCTGGGGAACACAGAGTCAGCAGAGGCAGTCTTCGACACTCCCCACCTCCTCCAGACACCTTATCACTATTGATTTTGAAAATTCATATTTGAAAAAAAAAGAAAATTCATATTTGATTCTACTTGCCTATGGTTGGGCTGGACTAGAGAAGATGTAGGTGGCCAAGGCTGGTCCCCAGCCAGCAGGGAACAGATAACCTCAAATAAAACAAATAACCAATTCTAAAATTGCACATTTTGTGCCATAAAGGAGGTCATCCAGAGTAGAGGCTGGCTCTGATTCACTTCTATCTATCCTAGGCCAGCATGGATGAAGCTCCGTCAGTGTCTGTGGATTGAAAGAACTCAAAAGAACAGAAATGAGAAGGATTTGTTTTGCTAGAGGTGAAGAAGCAGATGGGAGTGCTAAGAAAACTTCAAGGCGGAGGTGATATATGAGCAGGTATTAACAGATAAGTAGGAGTTCACCAGGGAAGGAAAGGGAAGGCTTTTCCAGGGGAAGCAGGCAGAGGCAAAGGCAAGGGTCAGGAGGAGTACAGGTAGATGCGAGGTGTGATCAGAAAACAAGAGTTATCCAGTTAGACCATGGCATAGGAGAGGGGGAGAGTCCAAGAGGATAGTGGGTGAGGTCTGTTTTCCTTGCCCAGCATCCATCCCTCTTATTCTGGTGACCATCACTCAATTTTCCAGAGCCCCCAGTGTGACTAACCCCATCCTCAAGGCAAAATCTCCCTCTCACCTCTGTTCCCTAGGCACCCGTTCTCCTCGGGGACAACCAGCTTCATCAGCTTCTTATAAACACTTCTAGAGATACTCTTTGCCTGTGCAAGCAGAGCCCCTCTCATTATTTATTTATTTATTTATTTATTTTATTTTTTTATATTTTTTTTTAATTTTTTTTTATTTATTTATGATAGGCACACAGTGAGAGAGAGAGAGAGGCAGAGACACAGGCAGAGGGAGAAGCAGGCTCCATGCACCGAGAGCCCGACGTGGGATTCGATCCCGGGTCTCCAGGATCGCGTCCTGGGCCAAAGGCAGGCGCTAAACCGCTGCGCCACCCAGGGATCCCCTATTATTTATATTTTTTTAAAGATCTTATTTATTCATTCATGAGAATACAAAGAGAGGAGAGAGAGAGGCGGAGACATAGGCAGAGGGAAAAGCAGACTCCATGCAGGAAGCCTGAAGCAGGACTCAATCCTGGGTCTCCAGGATCAGGCCCTGGGCCCAAGGCAGTGCTAAACTGCTGAACCATCCGGGATGCCCTAGTTTTTAGTTTTTCAGGTTTTTAAATTTATTCATGAAAAACACAGAGAGAAACAGAGGTAGAGACACAGGCAGAGGGAGGAGCGGGCTCCATGCAGGGAGCCCAATGTGGGACTCGATCCCGGGCCTTCAGGATCATGCCCTAGGCCGAAGGCAGGCAGTAAACTGCTGAGCCATCCAAGGATCCATTTATTTATTTATTTATTTATTTATTTATTTATTTATTTATTTATTTATTTAACTCAAATAGCAATATATAGGCAAGGAGAGCCCCCCAAGTACTGCAGGTCCTGGTGGCAGTGGGGAGAGGACAGTCTCTGCTGTCAGGCAGGGGAGGTGACTCTGCAGGGAGTCTGAGAAACCACAGCTCATAAGCTTCTGCTCTTCTCATTGTTCTGCACCTTATTTTTTTCTGGTTAACATTGTATGTTTGACTACCCCATATCAGCACACAGAAAATGTCCCCAGTTTCACTTTGGGGCTGCTGCCTAGTATTCCAGGGTGTCAGAGTATACCTAGTTGGTTTCAGCCAGTGGACCTCTCGGTTGTTCCCAGCCCTCTCCTGTGACAAGCAGGGCTGCAGTGAGTCACCTTCTACGGATGTCCATTCACACACATGTGAGCACAGCTGCAGAATACTTGCTACGTGCCTAAGGGTAAAAGGGCACTTGC